CCTCACACTATAAAAGACGAACTGGGTCATGAGGAAAAGAAAATAGGAGACAGATACTGATAGATTCCATGTCTATCTATCAGCAGTCAATTAAGCATTAACCAGTTCCGGTGCTCATCATCCGCATCATATATCTAAATTTGCAACTTTCAAAATTCAACAACATTCTGAACCATGCCAGCCTGGCTTTTTCAACATCAATAAATCAATCTAAGTTTGCAGATGTTGATGGATGAATGTCTATAATTACAATTGGTGTATAATGATGACTTTATTAACAGCAATTATAATAATAACAGCAACGACATAACGAATATCAATTTAACCGTTCATTTGTCGCCGGCTGTCCAGCATCGGAAACGGGCACAACGATTTCTATTGTTAGTTGTTGTTGGTTGAAAATGTGTGATGTATCTGTTTTGAGTATATGCATTTCCGAGTGAACGTGTGTCACGATAAGCATAAGCACTGAAGAGTGTTTCACAGACCCATAGGCGATGTGCTGGCATTTATTTGCCGCAATCTTGAGTAATATGATACAACTGCATTGCTGACAATAGTTGTTGACTATATGCGCAGCGCGACTGCAACATATTGACTTGCAACATGCCACAACGCGGTAGCGTGACAGAGAGAGAGGAAATGTAGAAAGCAACGGCAAGTACAATATTCTGCCATACGAAAGTCATATCTAAAGGCGAAGGCACAAACAACCGTCGCCTGTGCCCACAACGCTTTGTCGCCTCGGTCGAAATCAGCGACCATTTCGCTGTCAGGCAAAAGCCATGCGCACATTCGTTACTGAGTGAGAATTTCGCGGTTTTTCCAACCAAGCGGATGAAGGCAACAACCAGCTTGTAAACAACAGCAATAAGTCCACTTTGTTAGATACACAGCCGGCTACACCGTCGCCACAGCAACAAACTTAGCGTCACTCCAGCTTCTATATGTTGTCGCTACAAGCATTCATTCATGGAATTATACTCACACACACACACACATCTGAGTGCATGCATTCATTACCGCTGTTGCTGTGATTGTTGCAATTCTGTGGATATTTGCCTGTCAATGTATCAACGCCGTCGCAATGGAGACAATTTCCGCGGATGGAAATTGTCTGAGAATCACTTCACCGCAACGGTTACACGTTCGCATTTTGTGGTGTTTTCAATTTACCACTCACACAAATTGGTAGTGAGTACATATATACACATATATTGACACACACAATGCATACGAAGGTGTGTGTGGCTTGTAGTTTATTTATATGAAATCAAGATGTCAGCGGAGTTTGTTCGAGAAAGAAATATCCAGGTTGCCGCGCTTTTACTATTGTGTATATGAAAGATGACCTTAGTGCTTCACTGAACTTAATATTGCATATTTTATCTACTATAATGAGTAATTCATTTAAATATCTCATTGAATTAGGGTCTTCGTATTGGGCTCTTCTAGTAAGCTGTACTAACTTTGTTGGAGGGTAAACTGATTGGCACCAAGTTACACAGAAAAGTCTTGCTCAAGCTTTCAGTTGTAATGGTGACACATATATGAATGTTAACTGCTCCTTCCTAAAGAATTATTAATACTGTTGTAAATAGAAATCCCTTGAAAGACAGTCTTCTAGCTTTCTCGACTTGGCAGACTGATCGCAATTAATGTCGACTGAATCAAAGTGCTCTTTGATTACTAAGATTTCTATATGAAAAGCTACTAACCGATGATATCGAAGCACACCTGCAGTTTTATATGAAAAATTGGTTTTCCCGAACAGTTTGATCTCTGAACTATAATACAAATGACATGAAATATTGTGAGGCGTATACAAATACCTCACATATTGACATAGTGATCGATAGAGTATGAGAGATACAGCAAACAGAGAGAATAGAATTAAAACTGAACCACGGGAAAGTAATATATGCACCGATTTCATCTATTTTATATGTGTATCAAACAAACCAAATCAAATATTGCCTCAACATTTTATTGAAGTGTTCATTTTGATCATTATATTGGGTCGTTCACTAAGTAATTTCGTTTTTTTAGAGCAATTTATACACATTTTTTTTATTGTGGAAAATTTTATGATGTTTAATATTATATAATCTTTCAGCAATCTCTCGAGTTGTTATTCGATGATTTGCATAGACTTTATTTTATATACATCGGCTTCAAGAGGCCCTCCAGGACGTGATGCATCATCAAGATCGAAATTGCCGGAACGAAATTTGGAAACCAATTTCGGCATTGGCGTTCGGTCAATACATCTTCTCCGTACGCATACAATTTGATAGATTTAACAGTAAAATATGCCGAAAATGCTGTTTTTGATCTTCCATGTTCGATAGAGCACCAAACAAAAACTATTCTAAAAATTTAAGAAAATTTTTTACAAGCAAGCCTAACTATAGCAGCCATTCAAATATACAACGTAAAGTGGTATAGTGCGAAGTTGGCTGCGAAAAGATTCAATAAGATAGCTGTTGACGAAATTACTTAGTGAACAACTTAATATATGGTATAAAGAAACCTAGAGTTATATAAATGGTATAAGAGTATAATAAACTGGTTTACTTGTCGACTATTCTTAATATTCAGCATTACATTGGCAGTCGACATACAAGAAGCATTATAATATGTACATAAATAAGGTAAAAATAATATTGTACGTAATCCAAAATTGTTTTACGTTTTCGTTGATATATTATATATCTATTCCTCCATTAATTTCTTTTAATTAATTGGCTCTAACAAATTTGCTTGAATTGTGAATTACGTAACATTGGTTTTGTGGAACATAAGCATGCAGATGTTATGAATCTCAAAAAGTGTTAGACGATGTGCTTTTCCCGTAGATCTGTGCACCACTCTAATGTATATACAAGGAGCGCCAGTATGCCGGTGCAAGCCTTTTGAATGGCCTCCATGTCTGCATAACGCTTTCCTTTCATCGGCAAATGCGTTTCTCCGAAAAGGAAGAAGTCGCAAGGTGCCATATCAGGTGAATACGGGGAGTGGTTGATTGTTAAAATGTGATTTTTGGTCAAATAATCGGCCACAAGCGTCGATCGATGAGACGGTGCATTATCGTGCAACAAACGTCAACTTCCATCTTTGCGATATTCGGGCCGAACACGTCGAATACGGCGAACACGTCGAATTACGGGTGGAACAAATTTTTTGTGGACAATACCCTTGGAATACTTACTTTGGAACGCACCTTGTATGATTTAGGAGTTACTATAGACTGAATTTTTCTTCTTGGCAAACCAATATTAATACCACAGTTTATAAAACGAAAAGTGCTCTTAGCTTCGTTACACGCTGGTCTAAAGAACTTATAGATTCGTATGTTACTAAAACTCTTTTTACAGCTTTGGTTAGACCTTTATTGGAATATGGTTTTGTGGTATGGAACCCTAGTTAATAGATCCATTCTGACAAGTTAGACTCTGTTCAAAAACAATTTTTACTTTTTGTCAGAAGTTAAATTTTATATCCCGATCTTATATAAATTTTTAACTAAACGAACCTTTCTGCTGCATATATATATCATGAGTTTATTCCACACTCATTTTTCAAAATAAAAAACACTATATTGGTTTCTCTTAATAAATGAAATCGTAACAATTCATAATAAATTTTTAAATCTTAGGTGTTGAAATTTTGATTTCTGTAGCTAGGCAGTTTTATATCTCGACCTTAAAAAACTTTCTTGCCTTTTATGACTCGACTAACTCCGCACGTAAGCGGATTGCGTTCCTTGCGTCGGTTGGGCCGGAGGAAGGTAATCATTAGGTTATTATATATAATAAGGGCAACTATATAGTGTTAATTTTTATAAAGATATTTCTCACTCTATCACTCAATCAGACCAGCGGATATGAATATAATAGGTAGTAGAGAATGTAAATAGATTTTCTCCAATCATAATATTCAAATATTTTTTGATGAAATATTCTTACACCACTATGTGGAATAAAACTTTTTATATTAATAATTGGATTACCTTTTGTTAGGTAAAAGAAGGTCATGGAATTCTGCATAGCATAGAGTTCTGTCCATACTCCTTAAACTCTACTTTTAAGGAATATATTGTTGTTCAGCTTATGAGCCTCATTATTTCAATGTGTAAATGGATTGCTTATTTGCCCATGTTCATGGTTGATATTGGAACCGAAAATGAATCAATGCAGCAGTTGGATAATATACTACTTACTTTTTTAGTCATTACTGTGACAGAACAATATCAATCTGCGAAAAATCAGAGACCTTTGTGCAGAGCCATGCAATAAGAACAACATGACGTATGAGTAATTCTAGTTTTTACTGGCAATTTAAATAAATTTTTTTTTTGTATTTTTTTACATATTTTATTCTCGAACGCATAATACTTCAAGACTATTGGTCAACATTTCAAGTCTATTGGAGCAACGGCGTTACAAATGTTTTTATATCCATCTGATTAATGTTGTACATCAGCCTTTAATGTTTAAAACTTTAAAGCGTTTTCCTCACAAGTCACGTTTCCAGATAACTTCGAAACAATTACACCGAGTCTTTCAAAAATTTGAACACTGTTTCTGTACATAAGATCGACACTAAGGAAAACTATAATCTAACAAATGAACCTAGATTTTTTGATTTTGGATGATCCAGTATCAAGTTATTAGGGGTATCGCAGACCTACTTTTTTCCGAGACACGTTCGACTAATTGCTGCTATTGCTGTATTTTTAAATATTTCTTTATGAAAATTTTATAAAACATTCTACATATGTTATACTTTAATTCAACACTGCTTTTAAGAAATATATTTTTACTTTGCCGGCACAATCTTTGTGAGTTTTTTGTGCCATGCGGCATGTCGGCCTTAATATTTAACTAGCTATAAAGTTTGATTCAAAATGATTAACTTTATCTGTAACTCTATTCCAAATTTCCCAAATTTCTAAAATAATTACATAATTTATGATATAAAATAAAACTACCACTTACCTTTTTGGGCAAGAGGAATCCACTGTCAAAGCTGACCTTTGTTCCAAAGCCACGAAAGAAGTTCTAGGAGGAAAATTAAAATATATATTAACTTCCCGCTAAGAAAATGGAAAATTTTCTAAAAATCGGGAAGATATTGGTTTCACCCCATTTTGCAAAAATCGAGTTCTCAACAGATCTCGACGTTCTGAGGGTCGAGGAAGCTTCCCCGAACATTTCTACGATGATGTCCGTATGTCTGTATGTATGTGTGGATGTATGTGTGTGTGTGTGTGGATGTATGTGACCCTCTTATAACTATTAAACTGCTCAACCGATTTGAATAAACTAAACGGCATTCCAAAGGGTTTCATTGCACTTGAATTTCGTGTAAGTTTGGACCCAATCGGACCAGTAGATTTCGAGAAATCTCAAAAATAAAAATTTTGAAAAATCGTTTTTTTTCGAATTTTTTCCAAACGACTTGACCGATCGACACCAAAAACTAATCAGTTCTAAACCTTGAAGAAACACATCGTTTGCCGCAAACCGGGTCGAAATCGGTTGATTTACTTGCTAGATATCGAAAACGAAAAATTTCGAAGAGCTCAAAAGCAGTGAAAAAAGCGAAATTTGAACGTTAGCGTATGAAATTAGAGGGAAGTTGCAGGGATGGCCCTTGAGGCCAACCGTTTTCTACATTTTTTTTTTTTAATTTGGGTTTGAAAATGGCGACTGCTTGATGTAGGATCTTACTATCCTTTACTTTTTCTACTGTAGCTAAAATTAAAAAGAACTTTATTTTTAATTAGATCGGTCAGTTCGTATGCAACAATGTATATGCTATTGTAACAAAAATTACCATCTTTAAACAAACGTCGCCAAAAAATTCTTTAATAATAAATTTTAAAATTTATGCAGGTCTCTGATTTTCAGTGATCCGAAATGTTGAAAACATGTTATTAAAATTAATAATGTTAACAGCTTTATAGATCTCTTAATTTCATGTTATACGCTGTAAAGGTGCAAATGTGGCACTATAGATGGAAAGTGGCTTTGTACTGTCGGTAATCCATATCATTACCACAGAAAGTCCTACGATAGAATAGTCAAGAGACTAATAATTATTCAATTCATTCATTCAATTCATTTAAATATTAAAAGTCCTTAAATTTGATTAAAATAGTATTCTATTTTTGCCTGTTTTGTCAGCTCATCTTGCTTATCACCATAGAGAATAAAGAACAAAAAATGTCAATCAACTTTTTTGTAATACCTATTATTGAGCTTAACAAATTGATCGATTCAATACAATTAGTGGCAAAACTTAATTTAAAAAAATAACTATCGAAAACGAAAAATAAACGTCGCCTGGGCAATTCTCACCCTTACGACAGAAAAAGGCAGCAAATGTTGTCCATTTTTTAGATTAGAAGGCAACATTCTTTTACAGCTCGGGCATAGGACAGAATAAATGCAACATTTTTGTTAGCAAAGAAAACGCTATAACGACGTTTGGGAAAAAGTTCTCATCAAAACAATAGATTCTTCTTAAGAATAATATTCAAAACAGGTCTTGGGATCCAGATGAAGAGTCAACAGATTATTATTTTATATAAAAGTGGTATAATACAGCATAAGTGTCAGATCCTCATTGAAAATAATATATAAAATAAATATATTTTTTAGGAAAAGTAGTAACTATGGTGGAATGGAAGGTAAAATACTCTTTTTAAATAAGTATTTCGAAATCTCTGCAAAAATATTTGTAAAGGATGTGGTCGGTTATCGAATACATTTGCCATATTCTAAGAGAGACATATACACTTATTACATTGTTTCATTTCACTTATTACAAAATGTATCCATATTAAAGCCAGTCGTGCAGACGGACATCTATATACTATTCTAACCTTTAAAAATTTATAAAGTAAAGCGGAAGGTGGAAGATAACTAATATGAAAATATTTGAGGATTAGGTGAATATGATACACACTCATTGCAGAGGAACTTAAGGATTCTATGAACCGGTCTTATCTAAAAATATTCGAACATGTGTATAATATATTATAAAGTAAACCGGAAGGAGGAAGATATTTAATGTGAAAATATTTGAAGGTTAGGCAGTGCATATAACTTCGCATAGGTTTTTTTTATATAATTGCTTTATGATAAGAAAACCATTTGTGATGCATTTTATTGCGTTATATTTCTAATTGGTGAACATTCTATATATCATATATGGATTATGCTAATTTATAAGTTATTTTCGCAAATTGAATTTTGAAGACGTTATCAAGTGTTATTGTTTATATATCTCTAAAATTACGGATTTTTTGCAACTAACAGAATGCTATAACTGATTATTATATGAACAAGGTATATTAAGTTTGCCGCGATGTTTGTAACACCCAAAAGGAATCGTCGGAGACCTTGGTTTTTGAGATCTCGTTCGGAAATTTTGCACATGTTCCTTTTTTGAACGAACTAGAGAAGCTGCTTATTTGTCGGAACCGCCAATATCGAACCACAACAGCGTATAGCTGCATTACAAACTGAAATATCAGAATCAATTACTTGTATAGAAACTTCTTTCTTTGTGAAAGCTAGAATACCTTCGTTGCAATAAAAGTTTACATTTTTTCTAGTTTTATACTTAAGTTAATAGAATTAATTAAGAAGGTAATGAGTGTCGTTTAATAGCCACTTTAAAATGTTGAACACCTTTATGGTATATTTAAATTACTTGTGAATATTTCGAAAACAAGGAATAACAATTGAAAACCATTATTGCATTTTTGACAGGAGTTACGTTTAATTAGAAAAGAAATTGAAATTAATTTTCATTTGTGTTTTTTGTTTTTGTAATATTACTCACAAAATATTCTTCAGATTGAGGAAATGCACTTTCACGTATTCAACAGCAACTTTTTCAAATTCAAAATCACAAAAGTTTACAGTTTTCACTTGTTGTATTTTTTCCAAGCAAGATATTTAACACCGAATTTTGATTTTTCGGAAAACCCCGCCTAAATACTTCAGAATCGCTAGTTTTGACGTTGCCGCAATAACTTGTGTGTTAATTACTCGATTTATGTCTTTGTCAACAACTTGTGTTTACTTTCACACTTTAACGCTGAGCATTAAATTTTACCTGACTTGCATTCGCGCCGAATGTCTGCTTCGAACTGAAGTCACAAGTGCACGCGACTCGCCGTCGAGACCACGCTTGCTGCCGATATGGGCTGACTGTTGATTGTCGGCGCTACTGCCGCGATTGTTGTTGCTGCTGCGCGTTGGTGGTGGTGGTTCAATTGCTGCAGCTGGTTCGATGACACCGCTGCGATGTTCGTTGCAACAGTCAATGGCGAACTTGTCTCCAACAACTTGTTCGTTTGCCGCACACGCGCTCTTCGGCTTGCCACTTCCTGCACCTTCCCTTTTACTGGCCAACTGGCGTAAAACTTGTTTGCGCTTTGCTGTTGCTGCTGCTGTTCTCGTTATTGTTATTGCTGTTGTTGTCGCAACTGTTTGCAGTTATTTCCTTTCCGGTCGCACTCTCTCAGTGTCTAGCGCTCTCGCTTAAGCGCACACACAAATGCTTCCACCTTATTCCTAGACGACCTTGATGTGGCGCAGAATCCTCCGCATGCTTTGTTGGCTTTCTTCTCGTCGTATTGTTGTTATTGTTGCCGCTGTGGCGCGCTTTTCAAATGTTCCTTCACTTGTTTACTGCGGTTGCGGTGCGCTGTGTTGTTGTTCGATTGTGAATGTTTTGGTTTGTGGCGGCGACTTTTTTTCTTGTTGGACGCTAATTCTTCGCCCCCCTTGGTGGCACACCGCTGCGCTCTGCGGCGCCTCGTTCGTTCACGTTTTTCTGGTTAACTTATCTATTTCCGGCTTCGAATGTGTGCCACTGTGTGTGTTGGCTGCGCTATTATAAGCACTTATGTACAACCGTTTTTCTGCTGTTGCTACGGTCGGTGTTGCCGCTTTTCTAATAGCTGGTGGAGTGATGTTGTTAGACTTTTTATTGATTGCAGCATCAATGTATCCAAATCGTTGTAGTAGTTCAGCCTTTTTGCTGCATATCTGTAAGTAATTAAAATGAACACAAGATTAGCAAACTGCTGTGCCACTTAGCGTCCTGAACGATGGCAATTTACTAAGAATGTCGTCGCCACTAAACCAAGCCTGTCTCTTTCATTACGAAAATTAACAATAAATACTTATACTATTTAATAATCGATTGTACTCGGAGAAACTTGAAACTTTAACTGTAGCTTCACAGTATCATTATTAAATGAACGATGTAAGTAAGTTTAATTATTCCAACTTATTTATGCTATTGAGGGTATAAAAAAGTTATATTAACTTTACCACGAAGGTTGTAACTCCCCTAAGGACACGTCAGAGACCCTATATAGTATATATGATATATGTATATCTAGATTTAAATCAGCGTGATAAGCTGAGTTGGTGTCCGTCCGTCTGTATATATGTCTCTCAGTTTTTGAGATATCGATCTAAAAGCTGCTCATTTGTTGGAACCGATATCGCCCCTCTATATAAACTGAACGATAAAAATTAAGCTCTTGTATGAAAAGCTCTGTTATTTGAAAATATACAATCTCCGAACAAATTTTATAAATCGAACCTCTATAGCTTATATCTGCTATACAAACTGAATGATCTATATCAAGTTTAATTTGGTTATAAATTGTTTATATCTCACAGCAGAATCTTTAAATTTAGTACATACAGTGCGTTCGAAAAAGAACATTTTTTATTTACGCGATTAATTTGCAGAAAACTGTTTTTGTTTTTTTTCCCAAGTTAACACATGTTCAATTGTGATCAGTTTTTTTTCGATCTTCTTATTGTGTCACGTTGCGCCGTGAAATAAGAAAAACTAATGCTCAATATAAGAAACGTTTTGAAGCAGCCTTTTGAATCATCAAAAATGTTTCAAATTAACTGCTAAAAACTGGAAAGTATTTAAATACGAATTGTACATTTGTGAAGAGGTGATCTGATTATAATGGATAAACCGGAAATGTAAATGACAAGCCAGGAAGAGGGATGAACTACGAGACATCTAAAAGAGAGGGCACAAAAGAAAGCACTGCTTAGTTTAGGAGAAGTTAAATAAAAAAGGATTAGATGTATCTCTAAATAGAATACGGGGCATACTTCAGAGATATGACATCAAACGCAGCAGTATTGTAAATAAGCCCCTGCTTTCAAAAACACACATTGAAAAATGGCTGCATTGGGCGCAGGAAAACATCAAGCGTGATTGGAGCAATGTCATATTTACAGATGAGTAAATTTTTGAGAAGTATTTGGCCCAGAAAAGCACAAACGTTATTAAAAGGAGTGTTAAGCAAACCTAAAAGGTGAATTTTTATGGATGCTTCTCTACTCATGTATTTGGGGTTTTGAGGTGCTTCTCCTGGACCCCATTAGAATGATAAAATTGTATTAAAAAGCTTTTACTGAAAACACCTGAAATTATTTACGGCAAAATAACCATGATTGGATACTGCAGAAATACAATGATCGGAAACATAGAAGCAGACTCTGTTCTCTGAAAACAAGAAAACCATATTGCTATTTAAAATTGGCCATCACAGTCACCAGACGCCAATCCAATAGGAAATATTTGCGCTTTAATGAAAGCCAAAATATCAAAAAACATTTAACGTTAACAATTCACCATGTTAATAATAATGTTAACAACATTCTGCTACTCCAACATATCTGAAGGTGGCTTCCTGTGGAATATGCGTAAAATTTAGTTACAATTTGCCATCAAAGATATCAGGCAAATATTTTTAATAATAAGACAAATTTTCCTAATAAAGGCTTTTTGGAAACCTAAAATGTCATATTTTCAACGCACTGTGTATTTATTATGATATGTGGTTGTGAAACGTAATCGGTGAAAAAACTCAATCTCGAATTTTTTCTGATACGTTATTTTCCATTTCGGATGGCGGTATGCTGGACGATAAAAATAATAATTAGGAGTTTCGTGAGCATGAATACATCGAAAACGGTAGTTGCTGCTTGAAACATAGAAACTAAGACGACGTTGACCACAAAGAACTTGTTTTCTTATATGTTTTGATTATATAAAATAAAACACTGCTGATGAGTTAGAGTGTTGCCACATACTTGGCCCACAAATTAAAATTTTGAGTCAAACAATTGCAATGGAAAACAACACCCAACCCAAACTGTAAGGGTTTTAACTGAAGAAGTTATAGAAAACTTATAACTGAAATTATCTTTTGAACAGGGCTGCCATCCGTTTTTTTTTTTTAAATAAAACAATTTACAATATAAAAAAGTTACTACAATACAATGAATATTAGAAATTAGATCTACGCCGATTTTGTTGGAAGGAAAATGTTGAAATGATATTGACACCAATTTCATTGAAAGCGATATGAAAATTCATAAAAGATGGCATTTATGGCTTTTGGGTTATCGTAAATCGTTCAAGGATTTTTTGTTTTCCTATGAATAAATTTTACCAAAAATGGATGTAAAGGAAAATATTTTTAAAAATTTTAATTTAAATTTATTATTGGGTGCAAATAAGCGCAGCTTTAGTCGACTGAATTGTTGAAAATAGCAAAGACATACGAACGCACGCATTCATATAGCTACTATACATAAGAATATGTAAGAGATTTTAACATTTCAGCGCTTTGAATAGGAATGAAGAACAAAGCGTTGTAACTTATTTCTCCATGCGGCAGCACAGTTTTTCATTTTCCCGACTTTGTTGTTGATTACATGTGGCGCCAATTATTCTCATGTAACTAAAACTTTTTCCATTGATGCCGCTCTTATGCGATCCTTGCATGCTGTTCTACACTTGCACACTGTCTGTGTATTTGTTTTGTTCATTTTTGGCATTCGTTTCATTTCATTGCGTTGCGATTTCTGACGAATTTCGTGCATATTATTTCTTTATTCGCTTTGAAATGAGTTTGCGTTCCTGTGTGTGTGTGTGTATATAAGTGAGTTTGAGTGCGTAAGTGTGAGTGAGTGCTCGTAAGTGCATATGTGTGTGTGTGTGTTGTTGCCGACCGTTGGCCGCCGGCGCAAATGCTCCAAATTGGCTTGTAATGCCTTTTTTAGTTTTGTTGTTGCAATTTTTGATTTCAAGTTGTAGTTGTAGTTGTACAAATTGGGCATATTCATACATATGTGGAAATATAAATGCCGTTATATTTATATACATATCCGAATATAATAGATATGTATTTGAAATATATCAATATGTTCGCTATACACACCCACATATTTACATACGTGAGGCATGCAACACACTCAATGCGCTACTTTGTTGCCGCCAACGATTCCCGTTATTATTCCAGCCAGCCTTCTCTGCATTGTTGAGTACACACGTACACTGTTGTTATTGTAAATGTTTTTAAGCTTTATTTATGTGCTCGTCTGTTTCTGCCGCTTTTGTTGTAGTTGATTAAAACACTATTTGCCACAATGTGACAACTGAAATACCGTTATAAATGTGTACTCGCGCATACATACATACATATGCAAATTCACTTTTACGCACATAGACGAAAGTACTTACAATAACAAAAATCTTCATAACGATAAATAATAGCAATGGTGCAACAATAACCGCCGTATTGGTTTCTGCAACAGCTGCAACTCTTCCTATGCACTTAATTGTCAAACAGCTTTGACAGTCACATGCATGTACATATGTGTGTATGTAGAGGCACAGCTGCATCAGCAACCAATGGTGGGGCGCCAGGCAGTAGCAACAGTAGCGTTTAGTATATAATATTTAAATTCCGCCGTTGGCGTATTTTAGCAATTACATACGCCTTACTGTATGCTATAATAAAATGAGCACTTTTCCAGGGACATAATTACCCAACGCACCAACTTCAATGTAAGCGCTCACTAATACACGTACGGTTTCAGACTTGCTCCCTAAAGTGGGTGTTGCACATGAACGTGATCTATCCAATCCTTACCAATACTTCTACTTTATTCTAAGAATTAAAGAAGTTTTTCTACCTGAAACATCCTGCTTTTTATGGAATTTCTTTCTCAGAAAGTATAACAGGTGAAAAGATGAAAAGGGGGTACCGAACGTCGGTCGAGCGTCGGTTAGTAAAATCTAAAACATACATGTCTGTACATTTTGCCGCATTCGTGGTACTACAACGAAGGAGAAAACATGAAAAATGTAAAAACTATCATTAATTTTCGGATCGTTTTTAGTACTTATTATTTATTTAAATGAAGCCTTTTCAATATTTTTGGGAGATTCTATTACTACGGTTTCATAAATTTCCACCAACTCGAAAAACGTGGTTTTTTCCGCAGCGGACCAGCGCGCTTGACACCGCTCTACCAAACGACCGATAACTTTTGTAATTTAACAGATTTCAATCAAGTGTATTCTTGAAGCATGTATCTATCTGAATATGCAAAAAAAAAATAAGTCTATCTATCGAGTGTATTACTTTCAAAAAATTGAAAGTTTGTTTTTGGCTTAAAATAAGCTTTAGAGTCTTAAAAACACTGTTCAGTGGGAATAACACTAAAACCCATTTCTTTGTTTCTGCGTGTAAAACTTAAAGACCATTTTTTATGAACCTGCTTTTTTGAATCGGACGACAATGATAGTTACTCGAAAACTGTTGCATTTATTCACTTGGATTTTTAACTGCGACTTATCGTTATTAATGTAACTTTTTATACAAAATTTACTGTTCATTTTATCGGTAAAAATATAACATTTTTTCAAATTCGCCATTTTGCGAAAAATTGTTGCAAAACTAAAAATATACATAATTTTCTAACAAATCCTATGTATGGTACAAATAATATTTATCTTGTGCCCTATAGCACGAATTTCTAGAATTACTGACGCCCGTCCATACCATCTTAAAAAAGGTGATTCCGAAGATCCCAAGATCCTTCCGCAAAAATGGTTTCAGCACCAATTGTTGTGCCCGATGGCGGATGGACTCATATTACTCCATTGCGGCAATAGCATATTCGGTGCACATTGTACGGCGTCTCTGAGGATT